TCTGTTGTGCTGCTGGGTTTTGTTGTGCTTGTTGGGTCTGTTGTGCCTGTTGGGTTTATTCCAGTATTAACCCCCCCCCCTCATCCTGTGAGCAAGTTGGACCCCCTTCCTTGACCTTTCTTTGAGGGTGTTACACCCCCCAGTTGTTCCGGTCCTTGACAACCTAACATGAAGTATTAAGTTTTAGGCAATAGGCATTGTCACAAGATTCTGGAATAACTAATTAAGCGTTGGGGGTTGTTGGGCCAACTGAAAACCCAACGCAAATATGCTCTTCCTAAATCGCGACAGGTATACATTTCATCTGCCAAACGGGCGTGATAACCTTTGAAACGTTACGTTTGAAACGTAAACAAACGTGAAAAAATTTGCACGCTGCAAGCTTGAACGCAAATGGCAGTAAGAGCAGCGTGAAATTTTTTTATATTTTGTTATACAATATAAATGAACCGCCCGACAAATTATATTTAAAATTGGGTTTTTAGTGCCATTTTAAACTGCCAATTTCAAACAAATAGAACCTTGAAAGAAATTTCATTGCATTTTAACGGAACTTCGCATTCAGTTGAAGGGTTCAGTCATTGTTCGTGGAGAAATATGTTCATTTTGGTTTGTGACACTTCACTTTGGAAATCACAGAAATATTAAGGCCATATAAAATAAATTCCTTGATTCTCATCGCTAAATTTTAAAAACTCTCAGGAGGCGGGAGGTTTATATTTTATATTTTATGTCAAAATATAAAAAAAAAGTTTAAAATTTAAAAAATTGGAGAGGGAGGTCTTTTTATATTTGCTCTTAAATATATTATAGAAGAACGCTATATAAGTGGATAATTGCACATGCGCTAATGAACATGCATAAGGGTTCACACAAATCGTTGTAATAAGGCTATAAGCCCATTTTTTCCTTCCGTATTCCAAGCATCCCTTAACATGTTGCAATATTAACGATAAAACAATTTTATATCGCAAAAATTCCAATATAAAATATAAAAATAACTAAATCTCTGAAGATGCTCGGTCGGGCGGTAAATTTATATTTTATAACAAAATACAAAAATATATCAACGCGGAAACCAAAATATCGTCGGGTGGTGATGAGAATCAAGGAATTTATTTTATATGGCCTAAATGTTAGGAATTATCAGTTTTTTATTTATTGATGATAAATTATATAAATATAAAATATAAACCTCCCAGCTCTTCGACATTTTCAAAGTCTAGTGATGAGAATCAAGGAAGTTATTTTATGTGGCCTTAGACGAAAATTTATAGCCCCCCTTCCAAAAAAAACCTGTTTCGTCACCTGTTTGGATCTCAATGAAACTTGGCACAGCTGGTAACGCAAGTTGGTCTACTGGGCAAAGTCCCAGCTCCTTTATCATATTTTATCATCAGTGCTCACAAATTATGGTGCTCACTGATATCACATGCAGGCCATATTGTACAAAATATAGAATTGAAATATCTTCATTGCATGACATTATGACCAAAAAGTATCGACAAAATTTACTTACTTTCACGAATGCCCATGCATTACTGCAGGCAAAATAAAAATGTCCATCCCCCTCATTCTTGGCAGTTGACAATTTTCGAACCACGCTGATGAAAGCTGTAAATAACTCACCTACACTCTCATATTCGTCGAGTTTCTGCAAACACCCGGCGTCTTTGCCACCAAGTAAACATTCTTTTATAAAACTGAGTAGTTTTTCAGTCGCGTAAGAGAAATCAATGCCGATGTGTGATAAATAGCGTTGTTGCTCTTGCATCAAGTGGTAAAGTAACACTGATATATGCAGTAATATCTCGTTACAAGAAGCTTTCTTCCACGAGTTTTGAGCGGCATCCCAGTATCTATTTACGAACGATTCATCGTCAACTAACGTGGATAATATAGGCAAATCTTTAATCCACTTTCCTAGACTGTCGCAAATAGACTGAACCGACATCTTGACCACAACAACAACATTGATCATCAGTGCCTATGACAATCCAGTGAACTCTAATAATAACTGGAAGGCTAAGTCAGGGGGGGAAGTTGAAGTCGTGCTTGAAGCTTTTTTTGTAGGTAGACCCAGTCCTTTTTAAATTTTTTTTTCAAAATATGCACATTTTTTGATCAGAAAAGTCTTGCCCCAAAATATTAGTTATACTACCAAATTTAATTTATATCAGTAGTATGATAAATGAATTAAATATTCGCAAAGCAAACAAATCACGAATTAGCACAAAAATTGCGAAAAACACGACCATAAGCATGAACGGCCTGAAAAACCGCGCGTTTTAGGCTGCTTTTTCTGAGTTTTTGGAAGATTAAGATAAAACTAAGACGTCACACCTCAGGAATTTTTTATACCCATGCAAAATACATCTGTATGCGAAGTTTCAAGAAGATTTAACGTTTTAAGGTCGAAAAAAAAACATTTGAAAATTGACAAAAATATTGCCATATTCAAAGTGCTCATAGCATAGGCAGCCCACTAAACGAATGAATTTAAATTAAAACTGCAGTGAAATTATAAAATTTAACGAAAATAATCACAAATTAGCGAAATATATTGCGAAATGTAGCTTATATTAAATCGCCCCTCGATTGCATTATCGGCGGACTGACGTAATATAAAGTATACCTAAGGTTGGCAAGGGGTTTGAACTGATTGAACTACACACAAAAATATATCCGTCGTATTTTAAAAAGCAGAAAGAAACTAGCCCTAAAATACTTATTTTTTAATAAAAAAAAAAAATTTAAAATACGACGGATATATTTTTGTGTGTAGTTCAATCAGTTGAAATCTACGGTGGCCCATAAGGGTCACGCTTCTTTCTTTTATATTTTGCTTCTGTATTTATAAAAGCACAACGAAATTTATATTAACATAGCAAAGTCATTTAAAAACAGAATAATTTTCTTTTTTGCCGGTGAAGACTTTTGAATTTACCTGCAGCAAGTTAACTTTTTAGCTGCAGCAAGTTAACTTTTCTCAGTGCATGGCATATGATCATATATTAAATCTCGGCTACCTCCTCCGCAGGCCATACAGCCTGTGATGAGTACGCCCGTTTGCCGGTTAAAATTTGACATAAATCTTGGTATAAGAAACCATGCAAGGTCTTGTAGGTGAAAATCAAATCCATTTGTTTGTACACTAATAATGGCATAAACTTGAAATCTACCTATCGTTTATATTAAAAAGTTGACAAATCCAGTTTTTTCTTTTATTAACCCGATCAATCAAAGCGGTTTGAGGTAGGGACTGGATCAATGCAGGGCTGAATGCGCAGGCTATTTCACGGCCCCCTACGGCTCGTTAGGCCAAAAATACAACCTATTAAATTTTTAAAAAATATGATTGCTGATAGAACTTGATTTAAAAAACAAATCTCCTAATATAATTATATATGGATTCAGACTTAGTTGGAAAGAATTATTCAATTCATGTAGAGCTACACGAAGTCTCAACTTTCCTTTCTCCAGGGGCGGGTTGTTCGAAAGCCAGCATTCATTCAAAGTCAAATGGCTTCATAAGGAAAATAGTATTAATCCTTATTGTCGTCTGACGTACAAAACGACATAAAGCGAAAAATCGGAATTAGGGGATACTTACAAGGACAACTCATTTTGGGGAAATCTGAGGAATTATGGAGCTCACATTAAGGAATATCAAATTTTGGATGAGAGCACTGGCTGTGGAAGCACCAGTAGTACAAAACATGAAAAGGCAGAAAAGCTAGCTAAAAAATTGTTGGAAATGAGAAAATAAAATGTATTGTTTTTCATGCGGTACATTATGTGCAGAAGATGCCAATTACTGTCATATGTGCGGGGAAAATCTGTCAAATATACAACAAAATACTCGGTCATGTGTAGGATGTTGTACCAACCAACTGTGCGAAACATGCATCAGCCACAAAATCAAGAATTATTTTCATCTGGGTTATCCATATCAAGCAATCATTGGTTTGCTCAAAAAAGACGGCGTGTCTTTATCTCTCAGTACTTTTAAACGGAGGCTTAAGGAGTTAGGACTTTCAAGGAGGAGGCAGGACATCGACATAGAAGCAGTGACAAGACTGATACGTGAAGAGATTGCAGGAGCTGGGAGGCTTGCAGGATATCGTTGTATTTGGCACGCCCTGCGTATAAGACATGGTCTGCATGTACCACGAAATTTGGTTGCACAGATCTTGAAGGAAATTGACCCTGTTGGAGTTGATCTAAGGAAGTCAAGGCGTTTAACAAGACGAAGGTACGTCTCCTTGGGCCCGAATTTTTGCTGGCATATAGACGGTAAGTTTAATAGTGTGTATATGTAGCTCTCATAACTTTCCGCTATTAAAATATACGATCCATTTCATCATCCATTCCACATGTTGTAACCAATACCACCATTTGGAATTGACCGTGCGGCATGCATAAATTAAACATTTGTTCATTGTTTTAAACTTGTCGTTTATTGGATGAAAGTTGACGTTACTATGCGCAAACTTAATTGTTGCCAAGTTAAAACTTTTTTAACCAATCAAAATTTGAGGTTGTTTACAATGTTATTGAAATACGTGAGTCAAACATTGTAAACAACCCCGAATTTTGATTGGGTAAAAAAGTTTTAACTTAGCAACAATTAAGTTTGCCCATAGTGACGTCAACTTTCATCCAATAAACGACAAGTTTGAAACAATGAACAAATGTTTAATTTATGCATGCCGCACGGTCAATTGCAAATGCCGGTAATCTATTGGCTTTCTATAATGCCATTGTATGGCATTAGGTTGTAATGGTTTACAATTAATCCAAACGTTAATCCAAACCCTAATCCTTAGTATCCTTACCGTAACCTCTAACCCTAAAGTTGATAACTCTTTTTTTTAGTTTTTGTCTTCAGTTACAACCCAATATACTTTATTGCATGCAATGGTATTACAATTAACGCTAATAGATTATTGGGTACAACGTGCGGAACGGGTGTTTTTCTGTGCATAGAACTAATAGCTGATGACCACTAAACGTCAGACATGTAGCTAATATAGTAAAATTAATTGTGTGTCTATTATAATTAATTGATATAGGATACGACAAATTAAAGCCATACGGCTTTCCTATACACGGGTGTATTTGTGGTTATAGCCGTAGAATAATTTGGTTAGAGGTTGTGAAGTCTAATAACAATCCTCGAATCACTGCAAATCTCTTTTTGGATGCAGTCATAAGTTTAAATGGCTGCCCTATGCTGGTTCGAACGGATTGTGGTACAGAAAATGGGATGATAGCAGCTATGCAGTCTTCTTTTCGAGCAAATGGAGACGATATGTTTGCTGGGGAAAAGTCCCATATTTATGGATCATCGCATTCTAACCAGCGTATCGAGGCCTGGTGGTCATTTCTAAGACGTAATCGAAGTGGCTATTGGATTGATTTCTTCAAAGACCTGGTTGAGCAAACCACTTTGCAGCTTGGTAATACTTTACATATGGAATGCCTGTGGTTCTGCTTCTCATGGCTCATTCAACAAGATCTTGATAGAGTGAAAGATCATTGGAACTCTCATTACATTCGGAAATCACGTTATGATACAGTTTCAGGAATTCCCAATATTTTGTATTACTTACCTGAATATAATGGAAAACAGGACTGCGTATGTCCTGTTGATGATCAAGAAATAGAAGAAATGAGGACCCATTGTGAGATCGAAAATGAGCAAAATTCAATTTACATTGAATATTTTGAATCAGTTATGTATGAATTGCAATTGCAATTCCCAAGGAATGAAAACGAAGCACTTGATTTATTTCAGCAGTTTATTGCTTTGCAAGAATAATTAACAAAATACATGCACTAGCTTTGATCTTAAATATTTAAAGCTCATGTAACTAGAGCTCTCAGTAATGTGAACCAGTCTGTACACTAACAAAACATCAAACATCATTCGATTGCTGCATTTTTATAACTGACAGCATGTCGTATAAACTTGCTATAAATATGAAAGTTAGTTAAGCCAAAACACAACACATTAATTAGTCACTAGCCGTTTTCACACTAGAAGAGGGTTTAATTGTCCAGTAAAACAAATCGTCTGAATTTGTCCGTCTAATGAAATTTCTAGAAAGCAATTTAACACATATTTAGCCTTTCATAGACTTTGCCTTGCTAGTAGAGGTTTTGCATATGCCATAGTTGCCTGCCATTTTGAGGATGCCGTTTACGTGATCACAATTTGTACGGACGATATCAGAGGCGGAATACTTTTGATGTATTGAAATAAGTTACGTAATATGCAACATATCGCATGCTTCTGGGCTACAGGTACCTATGGTTTAATGGTTACATCCATAATTCTGCAAAGCTGCCTTATTTAGCTGCCTGGTAGAATATATAGATTATAGTTTTAATTTAAACAAAAATTAATCTCTCACAATGAGTTCAGTCAAAATCTTCTTGAGATCGCAGTTTTTTAACAGATATTTGAATTTTAGCTTGAGGCTGACGACTTTAATATATCAATACCTTGCAGCTCTCTCCTCTGCAGATGTTATTTATTCTATTTATAATGTTCTTCGGTTCTCTTCGGATAGTTCTCAGTTACAGTAATCATGACAAAACTAACGCGGGCGAAGACGAAAAAGAAAGCGAGCGAAAAATTACTTATTATTTCAAAAGTAAAATAACGTTAAATAACGTTATTTTTTCGCTTAGTTTCTTTTTCGTCTTCGCCCACGTTAGTTTTGTCCAGCGCCCTATCGCGAACTATCCGAGAACTATCAGAAGAGAAGCGAGGAACATTATAAATAGAATAAATAACCTCTGTGGAGGAGAGAGACCTTACAGACTAATCCCGCCATCCATGCAGTCCTTGCAAACCGGGATCATTTAAACAGCCCCGTTCTGGTGATTGTTCGTCTTCTATTTCTAGTGTGAAAACGGCTATTGTACAGACTTTCTTAACGATGGAACAAAAACAATTTATCAGTAGCAAGTTTTAAAGGTTTCCAAACCCATGTGAATCCTTTACAGCTGAATAAAGAATTTCCTTCATATATTCAAGGGTGCTGATATGAACAGGCATCTTCACCGACATGTCACATGTTGAGACTGTTGGCCTGCATTTGCATAATTCATTGCAACCATGGGTGAATTGCAGTTCAAACTGCTTTGGGAAACCAAGTGGTGGAACCTCGTCTGACCCTGTCATCCATTTTAAAATGTCTGCAGTTCTCAATCCTTCAACAGCTAAATTATGTTAGACAAATTTACATGTAAATAATTATAACAATCAAATTATTTTGCATTGTTATTGAATAATTAGGTATGGCAATGGAGTGTTCCTATGGCTATGTAAATATTGTGTTAATTCATTTGCTTGTCTGAACCACTTTGTTTAAGACAGCTAGTTGACAAATTGCTTTCAACTTCATGTATTTGAAGATTAGTCAATTACACCAAAATCAAAGGTGATTGCAGCAACAGGAAGCTATTCAATTATATAGCAATATAAAAGTTGTCAAAATTTCAAAACTGAAATGAATTGGTTCATGGCCATGGGAACAAATGAATTGATACGATATTTTAGGAACAAGTTCCATTGGCATGACTGTAAGTCTGTAATAAGTTAAATAAATAAGTAAAATTAAACTGAACAAATATTATGCATTAAACTGATTTTGAGTGTTGATTACAATGTTATGTCCTCATGTTAAGAAAACAACTTGAGATATAATGGATATAATGAGGGCAGGAGTGGGCCCCACCTCATAGCCTTGTCAAAGAATTAAGTTGCATTATGTGAAGAAATGGTCAACAGTACTGTAAATACCCAATGTTTGGTACATATTGCATTGGGTGATGTGAGATTCTTTAAGAGATACTTAAAGGGGCAGTGTCACGGCGCTGATTGGCTAAAATAAACGGCGAAAAGAAACGTTTAAAATTAATGCTACATGATTGGAAAAGATGCAGCAGCCTTCAATTTTTAAAACAAAGCAAGGATGTCCTCAAAAACGAAGGGATTATAAATAGTATATCGCATTTCACTCCTAACTTGATTAATTGTTGGCAGACAGTTTTTCAAGTTCGCGCATATTTTGGATGCGCAGTAGAACCGTGACACTGCCCCTTGGCTGTTTTCCACTTCAATCGTAGCATTTTCTATTGTTTTACAGTAACATTGCACTTTAGTGCCCAGAAAACAAAGAAATACAACACACTTACGTAAGATATGATTGAAGAAGAAAACAACCCTTAATATAAAATTCAACTGAACATCATTCTCTGCTCATGATTCCAGTTCTGCTTGAAGATAATTATTCATGTAGTTTGTACTTACAACCATTTTCAATGGATAGCATAGCATCACAGAAAAATTTGTAAACATCAATTTCTGCATTTTTTCTTATTTGTGACTCACTGAAAACAACAATCAGCTCATCCAAAAACTCTTCAGCAGGAAGACTAAAGAAACTGCCTGACTTGAACATGATTTGCCATAACTCTGCTCTTTTCTTAATAGTATCACTAGAGATGCCACAAGCCTCTAACCCATTCTTAATTTCCATCAACTCTGCTAAGACATCTCCAATTTGGTCTTTCATGCATAATGATCTAAAATATTTTTTTAATGATTTTAACAACATATTTTCATACACTCTCAGTTGCAACTCCAAAAATAATTTCAATCTCCAAAAATAATTTAGTTAAGCTAAATATTCAGAGGTGGTCAAGGCCAGGTTCACATTGTTTTGAAAGCTTCTAAATGGAAAATTTTTTAAACTATATTGATATCAACAAGTGTCAAGTACATCATACTTTATCAATATATTTTGCTCAAAATGTAAACAAATTACACCTCGGTGACTGACTTGACTGCCTGTCAGAATGATAATGTCAGAATATTAAAGATTAAAGGGAATGTAAGTCCATTCTGCACATGTGTTGGCGATGATCCGCCCTTGCTTGACTGACCCTTTAGGAGATCAATAAGAAAACTAATGTACATACTGAACAATTCTTTTTGCTGTTGCAATTGTTTCCATGTGTGGAACACTTGTATATCCCAGCTCTTGTAGAATGTCCAAGCTAGAGTCCTTAGTTAGAATTCCTATTACTTGTTCATCAGTTGTTGCATTGCTGAGCTGTATCAAGAAGATAATACATACATGTACTTTTTTGTAGTGCTTTTTCATATTTGGGACATAGGTTGATATAACCTAATTAACCCATTACCTTGCAATGCACAAAGATGTGCCCTACTTTAAAATTTTACTCTGTCTTATATTCCAGATAATCTTACTTGTCAGTGGAAAAGTACTGTTAGTTAATAAGTTAACATACAGTAATTATCTGTCAGTGTCTTTTGTTAACTCATCAGCTTGCAATGCACCCATATTTGCCCTAATTAAGTATTTTGCTCTGTCTAATGGCAGATGCTTTACTCATCAGTAAAAGAGTAATGCCAGTCAATGAGTTAGGCAACTGATTATTCATTGCATATTATTATAAATGCAAGCGTTCTACTGATTTTTATAACACTATATCATACAGTTATTAACTCACACATGTAACAATATCTTGATAGGCTGAGCTTCTGACATCACTAGTCAACATCTCACATCCAGTGAAAAAACAGGAAACAGCATGCGTCATAAAATTTGGTGCTGGACCTCCTTGCTTGATGGACATTCCCATGATTATTCCACACAGTTTAAAATCTCCATTACTAATAGCAATAGTTGATTTAACTGGTGACCCATCATGAAAATATCTCCTTTTGATGATGGACAAAAGATCTAAAAATATTATTCCATTTTACATTTATCTTGTGAAAGTAATGAAATATTAACAAGGCGGCTACCATAACAAAAACGTGTCAGCATGTTATATAATATAATTTTAAAGCATATAAAATGCTGAAACGAAAATTGTAACAAATTGTAACAAGGACATATACCTAATAAGGACATTAAGGACATCTACTGTAGTGATTCTAGTCTGAACCTATCAATCCTAGATATATTTATCAATCATTCTCGTATGATGAGCTAGTCAGCTAGATGTTTTGAAGCTGGAACTCAGATATGGCCTGGCAACTCGACCTAACCAACTAGGTACAATGGCTTTCCTATAATATATGCTTTTTCTATAATATATGATATTTGTAGAGACAAACAATGTAAGCTTTCTGAGGAATAGTATCTTAGTATAATGTATTGTACGTATTAATTAATTAATAATGTTTAGGTTTCAGGACAGGAAGAAAAGCATCCATGATTTGTTTGAACTCTAAAATAAATGTATAGTATATTTTAGAAAACCAAAAACGATTATAATGCCTATAGGAATAATAGGTTCAGCCTAGGAATAACAGAATAGAAAATTTATAGTTTTGCCAGAAAATTACAAGCAAATACATTACCTGAAAATAGTTCTCTCCGAGGTCCCCCATCATCCACAGCGGGCTCTCCAGAAAACACAACCTTAATCTTACTGGAAGGGGTAATTCTATTTCCTTGAAAAATTTCATCTTTAAAGTCTTCCCATATGTTCTTACGTCTGACTGTCACCCTTTTTTTTCCTTCTTGTTGTAGGTCTAATTTTGAGACTTGTGCAACTTCATCTTTCAGCATTTCTTTAATTTCATTCTTACCCATATCAGATATTTTCACCTGACTTTCAGCAACAGTCTGTTCATTGTCAGAATTATTCACTTCCAGTACTTCATGATCTTCATTCAATAACCATTCTGAACACTGCTCTACATGATGTTGGACTTCTTGTACACTAAAATGATTTAGGCAAAAGGGACATTGAACTGTTTTACTTTGGGTAGGAATAGTAGGATTGGGTGAAATGACTGTCAGTTCTTCAACTGAGCTGGACTGGTTTTGCTCTTGAGTACCATCACTTGCAGAGTTGTCACACATTTGCTCATCAGATGATGATGAAGAGTTAACAAAATCTTCAAGAAAATCTGTTAATGGACATATGTAAAAACTAATTTTGCTGTAAGGTTTTCCAATTTCTTCTTTGTACCGCTTTAAAGAAAAAGGCTCCTTAGATCCTGGAATGATCTTTGCCTCTTGTACTTGAGCAATGTTACCATACAACAGCTTATACATGCTGGGGATATTTGAAATTAAGTTACTGTTAAAGCAACTATGCTTTTCAACAGCCTTTTCTAATAATTCCTTTGAGCCAATTAGGTCGTTGACAGTTAAGGGCAACATTGTGTTTCTTTTGGGCAATAACCTTCCATCTCTCAATGTCATGATACCCACATTAACTTTCACCTCTACAGTTGTGTTTTTTGAGGCGGCTTTCTTCGACTTCTTCGCCATAGGTCCTTTAGGTGAACATGATGATCGTTCCTGTTCTTTCTTCATGCGATAAGCGCTGAATGATAGGCGTGATGATCCAGATCTGTCAGAAGTGGTTCGGTGTTCATTTGACTGACTAGTAGAGGCGCTGGTAGTTGTCCCGCTTCCAGTTGAAACTGAAGTGTCGTCGTTTATATCGTTAGGAACTGCAATTTGTGATGCTTTTTTGCCACACTTATGACAAAACTTTGCGTTGTGGACGTATTCAGTACCACAACCTGAACAAAACACCATATTTGAGCATAAATTTACATTTTTAATGACAGTTTTTACTATAATTTTAGAGTACAAATTGAAAGCAAGTTACGTTCTCTAGACGCGTGTTGACGTCATGTTTCCACTTTTAGGAAACAGTATTTCCTGCAATCCAGCGTTATTTCAAGTGGATGTTAATTATTTCGTGTTTTCCTCTTTTTTCAATAAAAATTTCCTTTCCAAGTGATAAAATTCCCAAAAATTCCCTTCAAATTTCCCTTATAGTTTTAGTCAAAATTGGTCTCAGTGACGGTGTCGGTGGGGGGGGGGGGCGGCCCCCACCTTCGTAGAAAATTACGAATTTTCGGAAATTTGGACCTATAAGAGTCAATAGGTATCTTTCAGTATATAAATCAGTTACAGTATCAAAATCTCTTTTCTATTAGAGGTGTATGCATGTCAAATTTCACAAGGATAGACATATTAGTCTATAGGTTTCGCGTTATGGTGTCAGTATCAGCAGAAAGCCTATATAACTGCTGCCAAAAGCGCAGGGTATACTTGCTATCAAAAAGCGTATACTTGACGCCAAACGTTGGGCTATATATCAAACTAAAGTTATTCAAAATTGCTGTTCGGTGTGGAAATTTCAAGACTTCAGCAAAAAATAAATATTTTAAAAATACAAAAACAACTGCCATTGGGCCAAAAATGGTAAATTATAGTCTTGAAATTTCTATACCAAATTGAGTTTTTCAATAGCTTCAGTTTCATATACAGTACAGACAACATTAGTGTTAAATATTTCTGCTGCAAACCCAGAAAAACAATAAAAAAGGCACTGACTTCACCCCCCTTGAGCGACCTCGGTCCCAGGGTCTTTCTTAGAAACGCTGATATTTCCACTTTATAAATTTATATTTCGATTAATCGTCAAGTTAACTTGCTGCAGCTAAAAAGTTAACTTTCTGCAGCTAAAAAGTTAACTTGCTGCAGCTAAAAAGTTAACTTGCTGCAGCTAAAAAGTTAACTTGCCGCAGCTAAAAAGTTAACTTGCCGCAGCTAAAAAGTTAACTTGCTGCAGCTAAAAAGTTAACTTGCTGCAGCTAAAAAGTTAACTTTCTGCAGCTAAAAAGTTAACTTGCTGCAGCTAAAAAGTTAACTTGCCGCAGCTAAAAAGTTAACTTGCTGCAGCTAAAAAGTTAACGCAGCTAAAAAGTTAACTTGCCGCAGCTAAAAAGTTAACTTTCTGCAGCTAAAAAGTTAACTTGCTGCAGCTAAAAAGTTAACTTTCTGCAGCTAAAAAGTTAACTTGTCTGCAGCTAAAAAGTTAACTTTCTGCAGCTAAAAAGTTAACTTGCTGCAGCTAAATTCAAAAGTCTTCACCGGCAAAAAAGAAAATTATTCTGTTTTTAAATGACTTTGCTATGTTAATATAAATTTCGTTGTGCTTTTTATAAATACAGAAGCAAAATATAAAAGAAAGAAGCGTGACCCTTATGGGCCACCGTAGAAATCCCTTGCCAACCTTAGGTATACTTTATATTACGTCAGTCCGCCGATAATGCAATCGAGGGGCGATTTAATATAAGCTACATTTCGCAATATATTTCGCTAATTTGTGATTATTTTCGTTAAATTTTATAATTTCACTGCAGTTTTAATTTAAATTCATTCGTTTAGTGGGCTGCCTATGCTCATAGTGGCCAACAAGATGCCGATGACGAAAATAACATCACTTGAAAAACGCCAATTTATTTATGTTTAAGAGTGACTAAAACAAGGACTAAAAGCTCAGGATCAATAACAATACCTGGGGTTTAGTACAACATAAGTTTTGGGACTGTCAAAATGTTTTATAGTATATATTTTTGAGTTGAACGGCGAGATTTCCTTCGGCACATCCAAACTTTCGTCATTTTTTCAAAATACAAAAGCAAAATTCCTTACTTTTTGCTGCAGAGAGATGTAAAACAGTCGGAACTAATCGGAAACTTGGTTTAAATCCCAAGTCATTGTTGTGTTCCCAAGGGAAAAGTGTTTTTCTTGCAAATTTTTGCTCGAAAACAAACTTTTGACAGAATTTTTTTCACTCCTCGAAACTCTCCTTAGTCCTTTTGAAAGCTGATTTTCCCGCGCGCCGGCTTCAACGAATCATAGACTTTCATCATAGGAGTTAGCCTTCCAGTTATTATTAGAGTTCACTGTGACAATCTCGTTCCCAGAGTATGCCTGTTCGCGGGTTAGGTAGTGGCATGACTCTGGGGAAATCGAATTTTTTTATCCAAAATAACAGCTGGGCATCACTAGCCTGCGAACAGGCTCTCAAGCTGAATTGAGAGCCTGCATCGATGACTAATGAATTTGAATATCTGCGTCTCAAATCGTGACGCGAAATTCTCATTGGTCAGATGCTATAATTTATATTATTCCGCTGAGCTCTATATATGTCAACTGCAGCACTATGCATAAAAAAACACATTAACTGATCAAATTGGTCTTGGCCATCTTATCTCAAAGCACCAAATGTTCTGTTTTGAGAAAACAGTATTTAAAACATTTAAACTTTTGCTTGAATATCTTATATTTCGAAAAACAGTATAAACTGTACGGTCTAAATTTAGTTTGCACGGTCTAAATTTAGTTTGCACGAAAGTTGTAAACAACACCATATAAGGATAGACATTCCATATTTGGAAAAACGAACGTTACGGGGCAGATATTCAAATTCATTAATCATCGATGCAGGCTCTCAATTCAGCTTGAGAGCCTGTTCGCAGGCTAGGGCATCACTGAACTATATAACATGTATATAGTTCACTGCCAGAGGAGTGAGGGTCTTCCCACAATGCATTGCGTCTCATTATTATTCACAATTACGATTTTTGGCAAATGTTAACGAAAAAGTTGTTGAAATATATTGCGATTTTTGGCTCTGAAGATCTCGTTTTTTCGAAGGTATGTGATGATAATTGTTTTGTTTGGACATCTAATTAAACAGTTTTATATTTTTTTGGTATAGATATTGCTTTTTAGTTATGCTAATTACGCATTGTATTTATGCTTGTTTCGGGTCAATGGACACGCCAAAAAAATGGCGGCTTTGAAATAACGCAGGAGCGAACTGCCTTTTTTAATGAGAAAAGTAAAAAAAAACACGTCATCAAATTCAGGAAGACTTGCTCTTTCTGTTGGTTCTTTAAAACGCTAGATCGCTCCTCCAAATCGACAAGCAATCGCGGTTTGAAAATGGGGTATTTTTGCTATATTTTAATGCCGATGGCGGGAATAGACTGGTGTTGATCCTTATGGCGCGAAGGAAACTATTTTCTATATCTTTGAAACATACGCATGTAGTTGTTACATATTTTGAGTGTAATGTTACCTTTACAATTAAGGTCAGAATGTTAGTTTACTGTATTGACTGTATTTTTGTCATTTTGTTATAGAATTCGGACATGGAATCATGCAGATAGTAGTGATGTTGTCATTGGGCTATTCCATTTAATATCCGTACCCCCCCTGTCGAGGATACCTGGAATTCTTCAGGGGTAGGGTGTTTTGAGCTTGGAATTCTTCAGGGGTGCAGTGTTTTGAGTTTGGAATTCTTCAGGGGTACAGTGTTTTGAGTTTGGAATTCTTCAGGGGTACAGTGTTTTGAGTTTGGAATTCTTCAGGGGTAAATGATTTTGAGTTTGGAATTCTTCAGGGGTAGGGTGTTTTGAGCTTGGAATTCTTCAGGGGTACAGTGTTTTGAGCTTGGAATTCTTCAGGGGTACAGTGTTTTGAGTTTGGAATTCTTAAGGGGTAAATGATTTTGAGTTTGGAATTCTTCAGGGGTAGGGTGTTTTGAGCTTGGAATTCTTCAGGGGTACAGTGTTTTGAGCTTGGAATTCTTCAGGGGTACAGTGTTTTGAGCTTGGAATTCTTCAGGGGTACAGTGTTTTGAGTTTGGAATTCTTAAGGGGTAAATGATTTTGAGTTTGGAATTCTTCAGGGGTAGGGTGTTTTGAGCTTGGAATTCTTCAGGGGTAAAGTGTTTTGAGCTTGGAATTCTTCAGGGGTACAGTGTTTTGAGTTTGGAATTCTTCAGGGGTAGAGTGTTTTGAGCTTGGAATTCTTCAGGGGTACAGTGTTTTGAGCTTGGAATTCTTCAGGGGTACAGTGTTTTGAGCTTGGAATTCTTCAGGGGTAAAGGTTTTGAGTTTGGAATTCTTCAGGGGTACAGTGTTTTGAGTTTGGAATTCTTCAGGGGTACAGTGTTTTGAGCTTGGAATTCTTTAAGGGATTTTCAGGGATGAAAAGGTTTGAGATTCTTTACGGTACCCCAATTATTAATGTGAGTGGAATTCTTCAGGGGTACTATTAAAGTTGATGTGGGATTCCTAATGTCTTCAAATTTTGATTTTGGAATTTTTGCAAGGTAGCTGATAATACCCTGGGTTCAAGAGCCTTCAGAAAGTTTCCTAGCTAGAGGAATCTGAAAACTTCTGACACCCAGAGTAACCCCATAAATGACACATGTGGAATTCCTCAGGGGGTTAGCAAAAATTGGTTTGAAATTTCTGCAGGGGTACCCTATGATTTATCTGAATTTTTTTATTAACTAACTGCACTCTTAAGGCCGTTTTCCATTAACGTTCACTAAAAATGTTCTGCGTGATTTAAGGTGGCTTAGTTGAAAACAATGTAGTTGTGAAAGGACAAAGAGAAATTCCGCTCCACGTGGAAAATTCCGCCTAGTGGAAAACAAGCTTTAAAGCTCGAGTAATACGAGCAACAAAATTGCTGCAACTTGCAACAAAATCTGATTTCTACGCATGTTAATTGAAAATACTTAACATGCATAGAAATCAGTTTTTGCTGCAAGGTGCAGCAATTATTACTCCACATTTACACCCGTTTTTCTTTTTAAATTACATGGCACATGGGGTTAGGCCAGTTAAAATGAGGAAGCGGAACGAAAGGGGTTAAAGACGGAACGGAACGAATATGAGGTTAAAACTGAAAACCAATATCCGTTCCGTTCTGCATTTTAACCATATATCCGTCCCACATTTTAACCCCATCCGTTCCGTATTTTAATCCCATCCGTTCCGCATCCGTTCCGCTTCCGCACTTTAACCTAACCCATGGCACATGTTTATGTTACGCAAACTACTATAAATAGCAATGTAAACAAAAGACATTTTAAACCGTATCTAACACCCCCCCCCCCAAAAAATAAAAATATATTGAGCCAAAATAAGCTAGATATTATCAGAGAAAAAGAAACAACACACCATCATTTAAACTTGGATAAAACAAAATTTATGATTTTTAAACCTAAACCAAAATTATTGGAATTAGATGTGAAACTACTTTGAATGATAGAGAAATTGATCAAGTGAAAAAAATCGTTTTCTTAGGAATTATTTTAGATGACAAACTTTCTTGGAAATCTCATATTAGTCATGTGTCAATGAAGATTTCAAAATCAGTAGGAATAATACGTAAATCTAGTTGTTTTTTTAAACAATCATTGTTTACAGTACTTTATATTACTCAATGCAATATTGTTTGGGCATCTACGTATGCATCCAACCATCATTTATCATTACTTATTAGAGGGATAATCCCCAGAAAAATTTTGAAATTTGAAACCCGGAAATGCTATTTCCTGCATTCTGAGCATCCAAAAAATAAAAAAATTATTAACAATAATTTATCATTACTTAGTGGTAGAAAAAAGTAACAATTTAAATCGATTTTGTTAAACAAGGACAAAGGATAACGCCTAAAACTTACTTTCCGTTTATGTATTTGTTAATCTTCGCTGGTTTGTTTCTATAATTTTAGGGAAAAGGGACTTTTGCTGGGGGGGCAAAATGTGATTTCGTGGGGGGGCACAAGGGGGGACTGGGGGGGCATTTGCCCCCCCAGCTTGTATGTTAAAAAAGGCCCTGCTTCTATGGTTTCTCAGATCGAACCGCACCAATCACGATGCTTAATAGTGTGAAGTGATCTAGAATCTGGATCACAGTGTTAATTGGTTAACGGCAGGGACTTGTTAAAACAATGACTTTCATTGGCTGTTTGAACCGTATGTCCTTCAAGATATTGCGGTGCCCAAACTTGGGCACCGCATTATATTCTGCCTGTGAGTTTGTTAGTTTGTTCGCATCAACACGTTTCCTTATTAATCACCTAGTAAAAATTCTTTGCACGTGCTCGAAATTTATTCATTTTTGCGGGAAAATTAATTAATCTTGTACTCTCAGGATCGACTGTTTGTTAGGCTTTATCTCTGGTTTTATGGGCCAAACAAGGACAACAATACCACTGTTTGAATCAGCGTGAAAAGTTGTATATATGGATGGAAAATTGATTTCTATTCTAGCGATATATATGGCCTTTGAAAGACAAGCCGCTCAAAAATAATCCTTCACGTTTTCCAAATTATTTTTTTCGAGGAAAGTTTTCTTTCGAATTAATTTTCAAACGAGAGGGGGTTTGATAATTTAATAAGCCTAATCGGTTTTCTACCAAACCTCCTCTTACATAGGCTTTTAAGTAAATATTTATTATTTTGATTGATAACATTATCTTTTCTTGTTATTATCTAACTTACATTATTTGATACTTTCTGTAAATAATCGTGTGTGACAATTTATTAAACATAAACAAACAAACATATTAAACATAAACAAAACACCTGTGTCATGACATACTTCTAGAGTTTGAAAATCTCACATTTAATAATCACTAATCAGTGTTTTAAAATATCTTTATCACATACGGAAGTTAATTTACTGTACGCACGATTTTTTAAACACACGGCCGGTGCATTATATTTCTAAAAATAAAAACAACTGTGAATATGCCAGACAATCCAGATTGTATATAGTTTTGATTGTTTGCTCAAGCTAAAAGTAAAACATTATTTCCTTTGCAACATTTGCTAGTCTAAAATATCTTCTTCATATTCGTCCTTGACTGTAGCAACTATAAATTCCATTTGTTCATCTTGCATTGGTGGGCTATCTGATAAATTATCTCCTGTTGCAATGCCATATTGCTCACTGCCCTTGTTCCCAGACGCAGTGTCAATGTTTTGGTTGAAAACCATTGTTGCCTGTTGATTAATAGCTTTGTTGTACTGCTCGATTGACCTGACAACATCGCACTGTGCGGACTTTAAATTTGTGAAAACCACGTCAAACTGGTTCTCCAACTCATTCCTTCTTCTTTCTCCATCATGATGACTTATCTCTTCACAAAATGTTTTGTAGCCCTGGTCTGCTAAAAACTGCGCCTTTTTGAGTTTTTCAGAATTCGTTAATACAGATTTCAAATTTGGACCTCTGTCATTCAGGTTTGCCCAATTTGATTCAAGGTCTTGAACGTTACTCACTAAAAGCTTAGTTTTCATCAGTGTCCAGTGGACCTCTATAACACCACACCTTTCCTGAAAACCCCAAGTTTCAAAGAATGGATCACGTGAAATTTCTCTTGCTTTCTTGTTGGCAAAAATCATTCGTTCCTTTTCTAGTAATCCAGTCGCATTTTCGATTTCATTGTCACTGTATATTTGACTACCACTTGTACCAGCAATTAGATTTTTTGATTCTGTTTCCTTGGATACACTTGCAGATTCCAGATCTTGCTCACCATCATGTCCATCATATCCAGATATAGTTTCGGTCGACACTTGTGTATCACACTCTGTCTCTAAAACCGTCGTCGTCGAACTTGTTGTGTCATTCTCTGTTGTTTCAGTGATCTGCAGGTCACAAAAGAACGTTTGTGTCTGGTCGGATTTACTAACGCATTGCGCTGCAAGATATTTTTTTTCCTGTTTTCGGTTTAATGGTGTTGCAAACACTACAAAACAGTAATCACTATGAAACAGCTTCGCATTGTCGATTTTTTTTCTTATTTCTGCTAGGGATGTTTGAAGGGTAATGTCTGACAATGTCCCAATAGTTTCTTCAGTATTATATTTTCGTAGATAGAGTTTTACAACCGACATGATGACTGACGAGGAATATTTAAAACGGTCTTTGCACAGTTGCAGTTTGCAGTCCGCATTTGCAGGTGTGAAATTTACAACTTTCGAACATCCTGTCTAATAAGCGGTTCTCATTGGCTATCGCTAATTACTCGCAATCTATTATTGGTTAAGCAAAGCAAACGTGTTTTGAAGCAAAATGTAAACAAATATTCTGACACGAAACAGGTCTAACAGGTCAAGCGCTTTATATAAACCCGAGTTTGGTGTGAAGATATAAGAAATATTAAGGTTTATAGGTTAACAATTAATAGAAGATTAAAATGAAAAAGTCAAACTATTATACGTTGATTCGTGAGAGAGTTATAACTCTTGTTATACACTGTGTATCAATATATAGTTTTAGTTGTCTAGTACGTGTTTCTATTATAAATAAACTGCACGAAAATAAATATTGTAGTTTTTTACCCGGCTTTTACTACCCTGGTTCCAGAGGTTTATTTTTATTATTTTCATTGCGATGGGAGGCTTTTACATGAATCCACGAAATTTAAGGTGTTTGCAGTTAGGGCATGGGATCATTTTTAGCTGTCAGCCTGTGTGTCATTAAAGCATTGGAATGTTTTTGAATAACATAGCCAAGGGAATTATTGCAAAAGTTTCCTACTGTATGTACTATTTACAACATGTGCGGCCGTGTTGTATCGGATATACAAACTCGAGCCGAAGGCGAGACATGGCTTAAAAAACGACTCATCTTATGCGTTCATTGGCGAAGTAAGGCCACATAAAAAAAATTAGTTGGTTAGCGTCCCCGCCCGCCCACAAAAAAAGCTCCGCTCAGGATTTTTTTTTTATTTTTTATTTTAAAAAACGACTTTTATTGATCAACAGGCTCTAATATATGTAGTATTTCTGTTGACTGTAGTCAATTGTGTTAATAATTTGCGAAATTGCGTGCGAAAATGACGGTATGAATTATATTTTGAAATATATAAAAAAATATCTGTACTGCGCAAGAAAATCCAGTTTCGGACCTAACAGTGAGTAAAACCAAGGCGTTAAAAGTTAGTAAAAATTAAAAAAAAAGCGCCCGCCCGCCCACTTTTTGGCAAAAGCTAAGGACGCTAACCAACTATTTTTTTTTATATGGCCTAATTTCAAAAATAAACGTTGTCTAAGCCGAGAAAATCAAAGTTAAAGTTTATGTAAATCAATATGAATTTGTATCACAGATACGACACGCTTATGATTTTTCTTTGTGTATGAAGTTGTAAATTTCAATCTGCTAGTGCGG